AGAACATCCCCACAATTGGCGTCATCGCCGTGGTCTTAGCCACGCATCTGTGTGACGAGGTCAGCTTGGCAGGGTTCGGGTACGACCTCAGTCGACCCAGAACCCCTTTGCACTACTTTGACAATCTGTGTATGGCTGCCATGAACTGGCAGACGATGCACAATGTGACAACGGAGACCCAGTTCCTCCAGAAGCTGGTCAAAAGGGGCGTGGTGACAGATCTCAGCGGGGGCATCCACTGTGAGTTCTGAGCAGGGCAGACAGCCCTGGGAAGTACAGGGGACCGAGGACCGCTCTGAACTGTCTGCTGGATGCATTTCGTCCTGTGAATCCTTGGAAGTGCAGCTGGTGTTTTTAACTTTTAATTTAAAGAAAACAATGACAACCTTTAGCTCTTCCCACTTTTTTCTATTTATTTGAAGACATTACGTGTTTTTTGCACATTTTATAAGTTAAATTTAAGAATGAAGCTGGAAATACTTTCCCAAGAGAACTGTATGAAATAATGTTTAAGAAAGTAATTTAATCAGTAAGAACTCTGTAGTGTGCACACTGAGCACCAGGTAATGAAGTAGGAGGCGAGGGGGCGCACCCCTTCCTTTGATGTCACTGAATGCCTGATTGGTTCTTTCTGTTCTGTGGGGGAGCCCAAGGAGGTCACTGGGCCACTGGCAGCCATGGGAGACCTGGGGCCAGTTGGACAGGTTCAAGGCCCCTGCCTGGTGGTCTGCTCTCAGCCAGAGGACTTGCAGAATCAACCAGGGGAGATGTCCTGGTGACCCCTGGTCCCCAAGCATCCGGAGTACTGTGATGCTGCTCCAGGCTGCAGAGGCCACAGTTATCTTCCCAGCAACTGTGAAGGCCCTTAAATTTTTTCAGAATTTTTTTATTGCCCTCCCAAATCATGTAAGTATTCTCTAAGGTGTTCTGTTATCTGTCTGATGTAGTTTAAAAGATGAAGACAAAATCTCTCTTTCTAGCATCAAGGGGAATAAACCCTTTCCGGGAATAATCACGTTTTCTAAAACACTGAAATCCAATCCTTCCAGTGTTGTAAGTTGCTCATTAAAAGAAATCCCAGAGTTTTGAATGCCCACCTGGCCATATGTGCCAGGCAATATGGTGGTGCAGGAAAAAAAAATAGAAAAGGAATAATAAAAGCTTTGAGGAATTCTATGGTCTAGTTAATTTGAATGTTTATTTCAAGAAAAAAAAAAATCTAGGTCTACCTAAAACAGTCTCCTTCGCTGCTGCTGCTGCTGCTGCTAAGGAGAGCCCTCCCTCCAAGCTTCTTGAATCCAGACAGCTGCAGACCCTTCTGGGGAGATGGTGGAGTTAGTGTCCCCTGCCCAGGGACAAGCGTGGCCTGGCTCCGGTCCCATAATGGCCTGGTCTCATGTTAGAAAGTCTATACTGTCCCTGCCACCCCCTCTGATCTCTGCTATTTTCTCTCTCTCTGTTCTCTGGGTCTGCTACTTGCCTCCGCCGTCTGACACCTTCCTTGTGGCTGTCACCAGCTGTGGCATCCACATAGCAAGACTTCGGCTCATGGGGTGCTGGTTGAGCCAAATAATATTGCTTTGATATCCATAAAAATTTGCATGGATTTGGGGTTCTACTGTAAAAGAGGTTTAAGTGTTTAAACATTCTCACCAGTTACATGGCTTCATTTTGAAAAGTTGAGGCTCAGGAAGATGGTTCTACAGTTTCCCTGTGGCCTAGGTTGGGCCAGGGTGACACCACTCAGCCCTTTGGGGTTCATTGGAAAAGCCCAACTGTTTTTAATAACAACAGCTGACACTTCCTCAGAAAACTGTCTTAATGTGATAGCTGCTTTTCGCTGGTACCCACGGACTTGGGTCACTCCTGCCTGGCCAGGCCAGACCTGTCCCCAGTTCCTCTTCATGTCCCAACTTTTGTATCTTTATATTGTTTTGTGCCCACCTGTCTAATTGTACCTCCACAAACAGTAAGTACAGGCCCTAAGTAATAGGACAGAGACATTTGGACCTTTGATGGAGCCCACCAGCCTGATGGAGTATGGAGTTGGCCCAAGATCATCGTTCAAGACTTCGGCATTTTTGTTGGAAGTACCTACTTGGTCGCCTCCTTGTTTACTCCCTGACACCTGCCTTCCCTGAAGAACCGGCCTTCCCTCGGTGCCTAGGAGGTCCTAAAGTCGGGCTGCAGCAGCAGCTGACACTGTCAGCCTAACAGTGTTCCAGACGCATGCCCCTCTGACACAAATGGGATTGCTGGTGTCGAGGCACCTTGGGAGGAATAGACATGCTTTGCCCTCTAGTGTATTTCTAAGATGTTGCGCCACAGAAAAGCTCAGTGAAATTTAGTTTGTTGGGTTTTCCCACAGAGGCTACTCTCTCAAGGCACCTAGGCTGACTAAGAAATGCTTCTGGGACTGGGATAAATATATCCTTACAAAATGCCCATGTATTAGATGGAGGTGACGTAGGATCTTATAAAAGAATGTTAGTAGCCTGGCTCTCACTTGCCTTCCCCATCAGTGCTCTTGGGTCTCACACTGACTTTTCATTCCTTATGTATGCCTTTACATAAGGCACTGGCAGTGTCAGTTTCCACAGATTACCGGGGTCTCCTCATTGGTTGGGTTTGTTAAACTGCCAAGCCAGCTTTTGACTATCCTTGTTGAATGATGACTTGGTCACCAGTGGGTACAGTGCCAAAGGTAGCCTTAGTTATAAAAGAAAGAAAGAAGCAAAGTTCAGATACTACTCTAAGTAGTAGTATTTGATTTGTCTGTATTCTAACCTCAGCACCCTGTTTTCTTGCTAGATATATTGGCCACTTTTCATTGCTGAGACAAAGTGGCTGATATATACAATTTAAAGGAGAAAAGATAGCTCAGCAGACTAAGCACCTGCTTAGGCAAGCGCAGGGACTGGGGTTTGATCCCTTGTACCACATGCTGCCCCAGCCCCACCGCCTGGGCATGCTGAGCTGGCCACTGAGACTGGATGTGGTAGTACAGGCCTGTAATCCCAGCGCTGGGGAGGCTGAAAACAGGAGGCTCACTATGAGTCCAAGCTGTGTAGTGAGACCCTGTACCAAATACATAAAAATTTAAAAAAATAAAGGAGAAAGATTTACTTGGGCTTATGGTTTCAGAGGGTTCAGTCCATGGTTGGCTGGCTGCAAGACATAAATGAGATAGTAGAATGCAGAGAAAAACTTCCAGACCCCCAGCAGCCAAGAAGTAGAACAGGAAGGCCCAGGGTCGACCAAATAGCTCAGCAGATTAAAGTGCCTGCAAGCAGGTACAGGGGCCGGGGGTTTGATCCCCAGGCCTGCTGTGCTGGCCCTGACCCCAGGGCACACTGAGATGGCAATTGAGACTGGGCATGATGGCACGCGCCTATAATCCCAGCTCTTGGGAGGCTGTAAACAGGCGGATCACTATGAGTCCAATCTAGTAGTGAGACCCTGAACACCCTGTAGACAAATAAATATAAATAAATAAATAAAACAGGAAGACCCAGAAAGACACACCTTCCCGACAGCACACTGATCCATGAGCTCATCTATGGATTAACCTACTGACAAGTACAGTACTCTCAGAGTCCAGTCACCATCTGAGAGCCCCAACTCAGAACACATGAGACTTTTAGGGGGACGTTTTATTATTATTTTTTTTTTAAAGTTTGGTTTTTGTTTTTGTTTTTTTCTTAAATATTTATTTATTTTGTGTCTGTGTGTGGCCAGCTCAGCCCACCAGGGGGCGGGGCTGGCTGGCATGTAGTGCTGGGGGATTGAACCGCGGTTCCTGTGCTTTGTTTAGCTTAGCTTGTTCTAAGTAGGTGCTTTAGACCACTGAGCCATCTCACCAGCCCTAGGGGGACGCTTTAGATGTAAACCCTAAGACTACATAAGAGGGAATTATAAAATTTGCCTTAACTCTCAAGAACCTTTCAGACATCATTATAGGAAGATTAAGAAATAGTATTTTTCTTTCTTTATCCTCATCAGGTTTAGAGCATCCAAGTGAGAGTTACATTTTCATCCATTCTTCGGGATCTATCAGAAAAGTCCATAGAGGAAGAAGAATTTAACAGTGCCCCTTGGAAAGAAGGCTTTAGTACACTTGGGCTTAGCAAACGACAGTGGGCCCTTGAGCCCTCCCTTGATACAAACATGGTGACCAAACACTTCCCTCAAAGAAAGGACCCTATGTTGTTGCTCAGAGGACAAGTGCCCTCTTCCAGAGCACTGGCCCTCTGCAGGGGGCCAACCTGGTGAGCACACTCAGCTCTCAGACAAGAGGAAAGCAGCTGCCACTCCAGCGAGGGCACAGGCCACCTCCCCTCTGCCTCTCGGGGGCAGAACTCCTTGGCACACACTTCTGATTATTCTCTCCTCCATGCCAAGGAATGTAGCCTGGATGAGCATTTATGAAGCAAGGTATTAATCCTGATCTCCAACCGACACAAAGTAGAAGGCAACTAAATCAGAAAGGAGGACTGTTCATTAATCACACACATACACATTTGTTGAGTAAAAATGTTCTCCATGATGAAATTTCAGTTTAGTTTCTTTCATTATCTGAATAATTAGATTTGACTAATTCCCAGCATTCAATTGCAATCCATTTAGCAAGGAAAAAATACAACCATATTCAAGTAGTACGGTGCAATGAATATGCAGTGTCTTTTTAATTGTGACTTTTTAAAAAGCAAATCTTTCCAGTGAGCTGTACCCAATAAACCATATTGGAAGGAAGATGAGTTTATGGATTTTCCTTCTGACTGGAAGAAGATGTCAAGTCTCAGATTGGTGCCAGGCTGCCATCTACACTTGGCAATGCTTATCGCCTTTGTGGAGCTGCAAATGTAAAAATTCATAATGTATATGAATTTCCAGAAGGCATAATAAAGAAACTGACTACTCAGTAGATACTACACAGCAGCTATTCTGACAGCTGTACAAAAGCCCCCCCATTAGGGGGAATTATAATCCAAGATCTCCTGGGGGCTGGGGAGATAGCTCAGTGTTATAAGTGCCTGATTGGC